TGGGTGTGGCTGTGGCTGTGGCTGTGGCTGCGTGTCGGTGTGAGTGTTTGGGTGTGGCTATGACTGCGTGTCGGTGTGAGTGTTTGGGTGTGGCTATGGCTGCGTGTCGGTATGAGTGTTTGGGTGTGGGTGTCAAATGAAAGATAATCCACAGTCACATAGTCTACACCTACACCCTATGTCACCAACGATTTAGTTTTTTCAAACTCAATAGTGAGCTATCTATCGATAATCAAAAAGTAACTTTGCGATTTCTTGATTCTTTTTCTAATGTTGGTAGGGCTTTGAAATTCTACGAGTACACACTTTCCTTAGAGTTTGTTCAGATTCTTGTCATTTCTTCAACAAAAATAGCAGACCTTTGAAAGATCTGAAATGAAACGGTCAAATATTTTTGCTAGGATGGATAGGCAAGGCGTGGTGAAATTAAAGAGGATATCACCACGCGCACTAGCAACTTTACTCACGTATCTAGAGCCCTACAAGGTAGTTCACATTGAGAGGAGAGCAAGGCCAGGTTCGGAAAACTTTTACAAGGCAGGCTGCGTGTTACGAATATCGTATACCACCAGAATGTGACGATTTTGATGCATGAGATGTTGTTGATATCTTTTCTAAAGTCAAGGAACATGAAAAAGACGTATTATTTCTATTGACAAAGTTTCTTTCATACCTCTAAAAAATGATAGAAATGGATGAAATGAAAAGTCGAATCGTTGTAAGAATTGATAAGATAGCTTTCATTGTAGAAAAAAAAATACATTTGAGTTAGATGTTTAATTAGCCATAAATAGGAAGTGCTCATGTTTATATCTTCTTCTCGTCAGTTTTCGATGGTTTCTGACGACTCAAAAATGAAATATCTATATGAAAAAAATGCTTTCTATTTCGATCCTATCATATCAAATTTTTCGATAACTCGAAAGCTTTGTAGGTTACCTACCCATCAGAAAATGAGAATCCAAGTAGTACGACTTAAGTTTCAATGACTGAAAACCGAAACTGAATTTACTCGAAATACCTATCGGCTGGCTACTTGTGTCACATCCTGGTCGATTGCCGATAAACCGGGATCTGCGGTGTAGGTGTTGGTATCATTCAACTGTACACTCGTACCCACACCCTCTTATATCTATTTAAATATTAAGGAAGCTTTTTATAAGAAAACTAAAATCAATCTTCTTCATTTTTATGAATTTCATCGAATCGAATATATACGATTGAGTTTGTTTTCTTTATTTAATTAGATAAGGGTCTGACTGTGGGTGATGCCGATTTAGGAAGGGGTATTTTTATTGCCTTCATCTACATCCACACAGTGACCCAGATCCAAAGCAATATCTATTTTTCAGTTCTCTATTTACTTTCACTACTTGACTTGATCATTACATGCAAGTGATTGATTATTTAAAACACGAATGCTTGAAAAGCAAATGTTCACAATCCATGAGAAATTTCTTTAGATATTTTCATAGCATTGAATTCACAAACGCTTAACATTAAGATTTTGATATGGTGGTTAACTGACAATTTTCTTGGACTCTTCGATCAATTACTGGCGCATACTGATTTCCATCTATCGGATAGAAAGACGGACGTGAGTTTTTTGACCGTATTTTCTCGCTGGAATTTCCTAAGTTGCAAAAGAATTCCAAAAAGTTGTGTAATTGGCTTGAGGATAGAGCTTTCAATGGGTGTGGGTGTGGGTGTGGGGTGTGGGTGTGTAAAATCATTATTAAGAAATTTTTCGAGATTGAAAGCATCACACGAC